AAAAAAAAACTAACATTAAATATTCAGGTAAGTTAGGCTATATATTTGCTAATAGTGTTGGCTTTTATTATAATGATTCTAGAACATTACCACTGTGGGGTTTGTAAGTGGTAAGTATAGATGATTCATATAGCCTACATACAGGAGGCAATTTGTGTGAGAGACCTGGGAGTCTGTCTGAAGTTGCATATAGTATTTCTAGATCTTAATGGTTTGTGTTTTGGATAGTTCACTATAACGTTCTTTAACAGTGTTTGATGTTTTCACATATATTTAGGTTTTTATACCAGAAATAATGTAAAATGATGGTGGTTTGGAAAGGTTTAGTATTTGCATAATATAAATGATATTTGTACACACCACACCATATCTCAAAACATTACTAAATTTAGCTGAATTATAAAAGCCAGAAGTGGCTTTTAAATGAAGAGTCGGAATTCCTTGTACTACGACCGACCAACACATTTGCTTTTTTCTTCTGCCCGCCTCTTCAGGGTTCCCGTTGGCCTGGGCGGAGCAGAGAGAGTGTACGTCATTACGCCACTCGTGTCACTAGTGAAGTGGGTGCTTGAACGCACCAGGTTAAATCCTTAGCCAACGCGGGCGTCAAGCAAAGTAGATTGAAGAGAATCCGGCGCAATTCATTTTTGGTAGCGCTACGCGGCCAGAAGCCAGCAGGTGAGCACGCGATCGCTGGGTTAAGTGTTCAGATGAGAGGGTGGCGTGGATCGCGAGGAGATCACCGCATTGTACCATCGGAAGTTGCTAAGTCAGTATTTCCCATCTAATACAGGTTGCTCTTCGGCCCTCGGTCAGCACTCGCTAACCTTATTTTCCTTCGTTAGATTTGTCATCAGCTGTTCTTGAGCGAAAGCTGTGGTGTAAACGCGTTGATGATAGATGTGCGGTGACTAGCACTGCGGTTTTATTGACTGCGGCTCTATTTTGGTTCGATTAACTTAGTCAAGATGTGACATTGCGGAAAGTCGTCATAAGGACTAGTGAACTTTCTCCATGTTCATCGCGTATTGAAACTTGCGTGTAACTTACTTGAAGGGGGAAAGTCCTGTGACGCCAAAATATATCGGTTTAGTTTTTGTGACGTGGTGTGTTATTTTGTGTGGGATTCTTTAAACTTTTTCTGAACTCCTTGAAAATGTTCTCATTAAAACTACTAATTTGGGCTTTAAGGTCGAAACTGCTAAGCATTCGTCGTCAAACCTATAGTTTATTTAAAGGTTTTGTAAATGATATCCTGTTCTTCATATTGGGTCGTTGTTTTGGTTGAAATCCTAAACCAGACTCGCATTGGTCAAGCTGTAGGGTAAATCGGCTCAGATTTTGAAGCCCCAGATGTGGCGCCTGATTATAATGCTGCACTAGATTTTATGCAAGAATAACGTTTTGAGAGTGGCCTTTTAATTTTTAATTGCCACTGCAAAATGAAACTGATTGCTTGAATGAGTTGTTTGCGTTTGCTGTGGTTTGTCTTGTTGGTCAGTTTTTCAGTGTTTAACTGGGAGCTTGTTTTGGTTAAGACTAAGATATTGTCAGGGAGAGTCAAACAAAACTGAATTCTGAGCTGCCATATCTTTTATAGAAGTTTAGTTTCTACTTTATATTAGGTGTCTTTAACTACAATGTACTTTTGTTTAACAAAAAATAAGGGTTTGATACTATATACTTGCTCGTGTGCTCTTGTTGTAGTCAGTGTTCGAACTATACCGTGGACTTTGGGGGAGCCCACTT